TAAGAGCACTGTTCAACCATTTTTTATTATAAGCACACTGTGAGCGGATGTAGGAGCACACGCATGGCATATTGTTTTACTCAGAAACGGTGTAGAGTTAAAAGACTATGATGTGCGACTTAAGGCCGAAACACTTATTCTTCCATATACTCTTACAATGCCACACAATATTTTCTTCTCGAGATAGATACATAGATTTCGAAGTCTACACTATAAGTTCCCCGGCATGTCTATAACAACATCATTGTTTATAGTCAAGAGGGTATTATTATTGTAATATGGAGAAACTGCTTTTCTAAGGCAAACGTGGTATTTCGCCGGCTTGAGCTTTTACCATGCCGTCTGCAACTTGACCTCTTAAAACTCGTCAAAGGAACGTGCTTTATGACAAATGTGACTGATAGATTTTGCTATTATCAGTGTTATTTAAAATATCAGCAACGTAGAACAGCACTAGTCGCTTAGGGCTGGATAGTTAGTGTTGTTCTGCCTCGAAAGCAGTTCTTCCATTCTATGTCGTGAAATCGCGAAGTAAAATCATTTCTTAGAGATGAAGAACTTGCAACCTCACCAAGACGTGCTTCCGAGACATAACAACACTAACTGTCCAGAAGGCGTGAAGAACAAAGAATTTTTAGGAGAAGCTAAAATGTTTCCAGGAAGCAATGCGATAGATCTATTCTTGGCCTTACGACTTGTTGGATGAGGCTGAGGAAACATTGAGCAGTTGTGCGGCTGCGCGACATTTGATAAATTTCGACGCGTTTAGCCGATCAAAATCAGGGCGTTAAAATCAGCTGCTATTGCACACCCATGCCGCAGTGACAAGCGTGGCGCACCCGCGTGGTAACAATACGTTCCCAAGTATCTAATAGGTGGTGAGACACCACAAAAATCAGCAGTTAAAGCTTAAGGTAGGATTGTGAACATTGTTTCTTGACTTGGTGGGCGCCTTCGAATGTGAACTGAGCAGCAAGAGAGACGGAAGCCATTTTCGAACGTTGCGGGCACTTCCTTGTTTTCTCCCGAAAACATGCTCCACGCTTCCAAAGATCAATCGCTGAGCATCAATGGAACATCTCTGTTATATCAAGGACGAACTTGAAAGAGCGTAGAAGACGCAGGAGGTACTAAACACGCATACTTCTATGCTATTAACCTCGGACAACCTTTGGTGTAGCCACACTGTCAGGCCAGAGGGAGAACAGTTGAATCGAACAGGTGGGCTTGCCTCCTGTTTAGTTCTTCTTTCAGATCGTTCTCCAGGTTCATCGAACGCCCCAGATATACTTAAGGAGACGTCCG